AAGACACTTCCATAGCAGCAGCAAGCATTTTGGCCATCTATTTCTCAACAGCTTTGAAACTCAAAACCCAAACTTTGAAAAACAACTTTGAAACCCGAATATTTTCAATAGGATAAAGTGAAAACCAAACCAAAGCAAGCCTCACCACCAACTAAATGCCCAAATATTTTAGAAATGAAAAAATCCAGTTGATAAGGATAACACCAACCTTAACTGTGGTCTTACTTTCTGACAAGTTTTACAGCACAGTGTAGAAACCACCACGCGCTTCTCGTGCTGTCCTTGCTATACAAATGAACTCCATTAGCTCTCCTTCAAATGCTTCCCCTCCCTGCTCATACTTGGTATACAAGTTTTCTAACAACCCCTTTGTGACACTGGGTGGAACAAAAACAAAGATGTGTTTCCTTAGCTCAAATTAGCTAACTTCGGTTAAAATAGCATAAAAACATCATATTTTGGATGAGCAGATGGAGATCAATTTGGGAATCTCCACTGGGTCTGAATGAAGCAGCAAACCTGAGTTGCTTTGTCTTCATTGCTATTTTAACCTTGGCTAGCAAGCCTGGGCCAACCCACCCACGTTCACAGCCAACCTCTGTTTGCAATATAAACAATTCCCATGTCATGATGGATAAAGGGCAAATCTCTGGGATTTCATGAGGGAAAAGACAACTGCATTTGCCAGCCACTAGTTCCTAATAACCACCTGTCTCCTATTAGTGTCCTAATGAGGACTGGGATATGTCTTGGGATCTAATGACTGACCGGAGAAAAGGAGTCAAAGAGAAAGTGGAGAAAGCAGAAGAAAAGGCCCCTTTCAGGAGGGATGAGGGGTCTCCTGGAGACTGCAACCGTGAGCAGCAGACTGGGAGGGAGAGGATGTCAGCTCACGCTCTGACTTGATTCTTGAACGCAGAGCAAGCAATCGTGTGCTTAATTTAAATACACATGATGAGTTGTGAGAGTGGTGAAATGGCAAATAAATTCTAGGAAATTGCATATAAAGAGGAATCATTGATATTAAATCATCTAGGATGGATGTGTTTCAAATCTAGCTCACAGTTGAAACTGTTTTACAACTGTAGCTGTGGAGTTCTAACAAGGTTGTAGAATATCAGTGTATCTGCCAGGGATTTATTTTAAGGGTTGTAGGATGTTTATATAAATTAACGCAAATAAATTTAACATGTTGTTGTGATCTGAACCCTTAGTGATTCCCACCATACTTATGAGCACAAGAACCAACAACATTTGTGTATTTGTGTGCACATTCACAAAAGCAGGAGACAAGGAAAATGCACCTGGCTCCCCAGCTTCACAGGCAGGCTTTCTGCAAACCAATCCTTCAGGACAACAATACAATTTCTTAACATTAGTATCATGGCATTTCTTTTCAGTTCTCCCAAGAGATCACTTGTTTGATCTGATCTGCTTCCTGTCTGTATTATAAAGGAAGGACTATACAGCCCAGCACACTCCTGATACTTCATCTCACTCCAAGCCTTGGGTGCTAATTCCACCACCTCTGCACTGCCTGACTCTCCTGATGGTGCGTGTGTTTGTGCCTTTGTGTGTGTACAAGCAGGCACATCTACTGGTGACAAGCCTGAACTGGTGGCTTTTCCTGATCTGCTCTTGACACAACAGGACTCTAGCCTATAGTTAACATCATAACACAGCTGCCAACATCAGCTCCCACCACTTTTTCTTCAGAAACCATATTGCATTTCTAGATTAAATACATCTCTACTTTTCAACTCTCTCATGACTATGGGAGGACATTTTCCACAAGAATTTGGCCACTGAAGCGCAGGGAAAGAAAAATGAAAGTTCATAATCTGGCTTTCTTCTTTGCCCACCTCCAGCAGATACCTGGAACATTTCAAAAAGGTTCATAGTCACTGAGCAGTTATGAAAATAATGGAAAACCTGTGGAGAACAAACTTCTAAAATAGCCTCAGAGATTTTAGAAATGTGCCTGTTGACATAAATATGACTGCTAACATCCAAGCTCTGGAGCAAAGCATGTGCTTACATGCACTTAGTGGCCTCAACAGCTCTCCTTAATTTAAGGATAATTCACACAGCAGAATCCTTTCGTTGGTCCATGGGAAGGACTGCATACCCTTTTGAGCCCAAGCAGTGTAATCATTTCAGTTTTTAAATCACTCTAATTCATCAGTAATGTTTCAATGGGGTAAGGGCCACAAAACCAAAGAGCAATTACAGAAATGTGTTTTATGTATTTAACAAATAAAGTAGAAGGTTTTTGAGAAACAGAAAGCGATGATGCACTGACAGGACAAAAGGGAAAATGGGGGAAATGATATTTAAATCTCTGCCTCTCTCACGTTTGCCCTCCCTGACCATGGTTCCACTGTGGAAGCCATATGGCTTCCAACTCTCTTCTAAGTAGCCACTGAGAATTGTCTGTAGTGGAATTCTGCCAAAGCCCTTCTTGGTTTAATGACATGGAGAAGAGCGCTGCGCAGTGCTCACCCAGCACAGATTCGCTGTGTCCTTGATTATGATTCTGGAGCCAGCAAGCAATGCTGGGAATTGAACCAGCAGTGCCTCAAATGCTGAAGTCAACATGTGCCCTAACCCCTGCTGCAGTCAGCCTCTGTGCAAGGCATATTAATGAGTCTTGTGCTTGAGGTCCAACCATCGAGCCTGCACACAAGAAATTACCCAAAGACAAAAAAAAAAAGTCCTCATCATCCCTCTAACCTTGCATGTAGATATTTCTTTATTCCCTAAGTTTGTTCAGTTCTTTAAGCAGTAACATTTTCCTTTAGGCCATCAATTGCACTTCTACCTGCATAAATACAATTTCTCTTTAAAGACTTGGAAATCTGTCCTGCAAACGTATTTAGAACAAAAACATTCAGCCAAGAGGGTATATGAGGGGAGAGATGACTCAGTGTTAACCCTCTTTCTCATATTGTATCCATAAATATCTGCTAAATGTTGGAGTCACAATATGGAGACAGATGAAGCTTTCTACTGCATGTTTTTATGCCTTATGGCTCTAGACAGCAGAAATGTATGGTTATTACTGTGGGAACACTCTTAGTCTAAATGGGAAAAAGGAGGGTGCACAGCCTCATGGCTGCTTTCACATACCAAGAAAAAAAAAAAAAGCAAACCAACTGAACAAAAAAACCAATTACATTATTGGGACCCCCTCAATACTGTGGGCATCTGAAAGGCAGCTCAATAACTGCAAAAATCTGTGATGCATTAGCACTCAGGCGCATAACCCAACCTGGCATTGCTCAATCTTATTTTACTTGAATTTCCTCATTTAGAAACAAAAGCTGCAAGCATCCACTCATTAACTGGAATACTGGTTTCAGGGAAAATTTGAAGTATTTATTTTGGTCTTGCAGATACCTGGGGCATAATGAAGGCTGGTCGCTAATTTTCTAAAGAACCATTTCTCTCCGTGTGTTTTTTTGGTGGCAGAGGCATTATGCACCTGAAAGATCACCTCCAGAAGGATGCTCTCTTTATTTGGAAAGGACTGCATCTCTGGAGGGAAATCTGATGACCTATGAAAGCTGTGTTAGTAAGACCTACTGCAAATCTGTCCAAAAGTCAGAGAAAGGGACAGCTTGTAGAGGATGAACAGAGCCAATGTAGAATGTAACTCTCCAGGGCAGAATGTTTCTCTGGTCGTAAGAGGGAAGGACAACACATCATCAACCTCAAAACCACAGCCTACAGCCTTCCTACGCAAAGATAAAAGACTTAACGTTCCTGCACAAAAAGTAAAATAAAAATCACTGAATTTAATTTCTATCAAGAAATAAAGTAATTTGTAGCATTCATAGTCTCTTCTTATCTTAGCAACACTTCAGAAACATTAACTCATTTAAGTCCACAAAAACTGACAATAAAAGCCTACATACAGCTTAGGAAGCTACAGAATAAAAAAGCAGGAGATTAACTCAGCTACAAAGGCTACACTGAACTTGCATTCTTTGATGAATCTGGCCTGAGTTCTCAGCTAAAGCACTGCTCTGTGCCCCAGGTCTGCAAATTCACATCTCCCTTTGTGTAACTTGAAGGCAGTGCTCTTCCAGCATGCACACCCAGCCTATTTGCCTGCCAGGCACTAACTCACCAACAGCCATCGTGGCAGAGCAGACACTGCAAGGTGGCAGCCCACAGACAGTGCCACATACAGCGATAGCTCAGTGTCTCTGCACCTCAGTGCAGATCAGTGCTTTTTCAAATACCCCCACTCTTTCTCAAGCAAATCCACAAGATTCCACCAGAACAAAATGACATGAAAGTATAGGCAGCAAGAACAGCTGTGGGCACAGACCTAGACAGCATGCCAAGTGTAAGACAGAAGAACTGGAAGCCGTGTAAACTTCTTCCCCAGTTTTTAAATGAAATAAATCAACAAAACATCTCCCACATATTTTAATGCGAAAGAACAGCAAATCGCTTCACGATACATTGCTCTAATTATTTCAGAGATCCTGAAATGAATCAGTATGCTACTATTATTATCTTAAAACAACATTCGGTGCAGCAGCACTAGATGCATATTCACTAAAGACCCATATTATTTGCTATTATCAACGGTGAACTCAAAATTACAATGGCACTATTGTGATACTAAAACCAAGAAGCATCATTCTGCTACGAATAAGTTGCTCGGGTTCCAAAATACCAGTCAAGAACGTGCTTTTTATAAAGTAATTCAGAAGACAGAGCAGGATTTGATTTTAAGAAAGGCAGGGGCTGTTTGAGTCAGCGGTGACTCAGAGAGTCACAGAAGTCTTATAATGTTTGATATGAGAACTGCTTGACTTGGCCTCATTGGTCATGCCTCTCCTTCTGCTTAACTGTGCCAAGTACTGAACTCGAAGCGTTACACATACAGAGAGTCTAATATAAAACTCAAAAGGGTTTACTTTTAAACAAAAATACCCAGTAAACAGTTTTGCCATATTTAATAAAATAATAAACTTGATGCTGACCTTTGGCAAGCGTTCAGGGTCACCAGGGTGCCGGGGGATAACCTTCTGTAACCTTTGGAAACCATAGTCAATGGTGGGTTCATTCAGAGCTGAAACAACAAACAATGCAGTGATGTGACAAATGCATAGCAAACAGGCTCCATTGCACTGCAACAATCAGCATGGCACTGCCAGACCAAGCAAGGACCACAGCAAAATTTCCTCTCACTGAAATCAACACTGATTACGAAGTCTAGGATGAGGTTGGCTTTGAGACTTCAGTTGAACCAGCAATGCAAACCTTTCTCTTGAGTGCCTTTGACAAAGTCTCTACAAAATTTGGGATGCTGTATACACATCTACCAAATAGAAAGCAATTGTTATTTCTGAAAGTCATGATGAAATTAAATTGATAAATGCTTTGCACCCCATGTTCATGTTGTCTATTTTTTCCTATTTCCTGTTACAAGGAAGGTCCTTTGTAATGGGAAGACAGGTGAAGTAACTCTAAAGGAGCCTTCTCTTCTTTATTACACATTTTATATGATCCATGTGAAATGATCCTATACAATTCTGTTGTGAACTACAGACATTTGTCATGGCAGAGGCTTTATTTTTCACCCATTGAAATGAAGTAAAGACATATCTGCTACTGCATTCAATAGCCCAGCTCAGGCCTCAGTCAGCATTTAACCGTTCCGAAAGTTCTAATGATTTTTAAAAATTCATCTGTGGTTTTAGTTCATTTTTCCCAGCCCTTGACCAGTAAAACAGAGGTAAACCTGAGGAGAGAGAGAGTGGAGGTAAAACACTTGAATCTTCAGGAGAAAGCTTGCCTGCTTTAATCATAGCTGTGATTGTGCCAAGCCTTTAAGCACATGCTTATCTGTAAGCCCGTACTTAAACTCATTTGCTTTCAGCAAAGCAAATTTGAGCATATTATGTTTTTTGTATGATTGCCTGTAATTACGGGAGACTGCATTGAATGACCTCCTAGCTGTATTTCCAGTCATACGATCGCTTTAAAACTCAGATGTTAGAGAGACTTCAACACATGCTGAAAATTTCCTAAGTGCTTTGGAGAACAAGAACAAAAGTCAAGCATCTTCAAGCATTTCTGAACAGTGCATCACGACCCTCCCATGCCAACAAAGACAACAAAAGTTTCCACAGCAATTTGTTAGCAATTTTTTTTTAAATTCAGTGAGAAAAAAAATGTGAGTTCTTCTTCCCACTATGATATTTTCAATTTTTAGGTTTTTTTTTTTTTTTAGTGGGGAGAAAGAGGTTTTTTGGGGGTGGGGGGGGAGGGAAGGGGAGCAGGTTGTCTTTCATTTTGGGGTCATATTTGGTCTTAATTTATTGCAAAAAAAAATAATTTTTTTGCACAAGTTCTGCCTATGAAATTACAAATACATCTTGCACCTTATGCCATGTTTTTTTTATGAACTTCTTCATGGAACTTGAATGATGCCATCTGATTCATGAAAAAAGATTTAGCATCAAAGTGCATCTCCCAGCCTCACTTGTAGTAAGCACTCTTATATGGCTCAATGCAGCTTTTTCTACAATGAGTTACACAGCTTCATCAGTCTCATCTACCGTGACACAATTTGTCCAAATGCCCACATTTTAAGAGAAAAGCCCATTTTTTCATATTCTTAACATGAAAAATTGTTAGTCAGACCATACTGTTGTCACAAAAGTAATATCCCATCCCTGACTTGTTTTCGATTAAGTCATGTTTCATAAACAATCTCACAAAACAGTCCAGCTTCCAAAGAAATTGTTTCATTTTTATTATTTTCAAACCACTGTGGGCTCTGGGTAAAGAGTGAGAGTTCTGCACACACACAGTAGAAGCAGAAACTCAGCATTTCTCTAACACAAGAAAATATATTGAAAATATACTGAAATGACTCTTATGGCATTATGGAGATACCAGACTAGAAGTCTTTCAGGATGTTAATTTCGGATCTACTGTCAGAAGTTATATTGCCCCAAAGATCCTGATATTTCTTTAGTTTCCTCATTTTTTTAATGCATTTCCTTTAATTGGAAATGTCCGCTTTTCTGCTTTTATATTAAAGTCCTCATATGGAAATTGTGAGAATGAAGCTTTTCCCCTGATTGTGAGATTTCCCTTCTTCAGATAGCTGGCTAGTTCTTCTAATTTACATATGAGCTCTGCTCCAAAAGCTCCTATTTTATGATGATGGCCCACAAGGGGAGAGATGGATGTTGATGGCACAGCAGTAGAGCCTGAACCTTCCTGCCATTATTCTGTTACGTTCTGTTTCCACGTGAGAGAGATGGCAGCAGAAGGGCAGACTGGCACAACGGCATCTGACATGGAAGTGTGTAAGAAGCAAAGGTGCATCACTGAATTCCACCATGCACCCACTGACATTCACCAACGTTTGCTGAATTTTTATGGAGACCAAACAGTGGGTGTGAGCACGGTGAGGCAGTGACTGGGTGGTGTGTTACAGCAGTAGCAACAGTGACCGTGATTACTTCTGCTGGTGTAGGTTGCTATGAGTGCAGCATGCAGCCTCTTGCTCAGTCCAGGGAATATGAATAGCTAACAAAGATGACTGTGTTGAAAAACAGTATTCTGTAGCTGAGAATTTGCATTATCAAATAGTGTTATTGTGCTCTTTGTCCATGGAAAGAAATAGGAGGCATTACTTTCAAAGCATCCTCTGAAAGCTAGAAGATTTTTGCATGGTTCTGTCATACGTGTTTCTTCCTTAATGCAATCTAGTTTATGGCCACTTTCCCCTTACATCCTTTGGGAAAGTAGTTACTAAATTTTGCAATATTATAAATGGAGGCCAGTTCTGAAATCCCCCAGGAGGCAGCAGTCATTTTCTCATATCTTCCCACACATTCAACACATTTGAAATCCACAGAGTATTTCCTGTGAGTATTTTCTGAACTAAATGACCAAAAAAATGTTAATTTTATGGTCCAACCTCACAAGGCATCACGCACTCTCTGGAGGCACTGAATACTTTCTGCTTCACATAGCTTCAGCTTGGTGGACTTTGTGGGGAAGGTGTGCGTTTGGAAGGCTGCAGTTTGCAGGAGTCCAAAACAGCAGTTGTCAAAGATCACTCATTAGTCTCTAACCATTCAACCCTTTCAATCTTAGATTTTGAAAAGAATACATTTATAAAAGAAATCCTTAGCTGCCTGAACAGAAGATTGCATGGCATCAACCCTCCGTTCCTTATCCCAAGACAAATGTAATTAGTCATATCTCAGAGAAAGATTCTTGTATAAATATTTAACCCCAAATTCTGCACTGAGGTCACACCAGTTCCTACGTCATTATCTCCAAAGGAAAAAAAACTACATTCTGGTCTCCAGGCACTGCAGCTCTCAGTGAGGCAGCAGGTTCATGCAAGGTTTTGCCTCTGTCCCCCTGAGTGCAAGGCTGGCTTCCTAGGGCTCTAATTCAAAGAACATTTTTTTCCTTGATTAGAAAAAAGGAATCAATAAGGAATACAAATTCTCTATTTGTGTTCTTGACATCCATACATTAAAAACAAGCTAACACATACTGTACTTAAAATGCATTCCCACTACCCTAAATTTTAAAAGTACTATTGAAAGTACTACTAACTTTAAAAAGGTGTATTAAATTCAAATAGGTCCCAAGGCTAATGGAAGCAATTTGTATACCAACCCAAACTGACTGGCCCACTTTTCAAAATACAAGTATGATAATCTCGTGGTTTTAAAAGGACATTTAAATTGAAAGACTGTGAATTTAGTACATAATTATACCAATAGAACCCTTTAACTTGTCAACTTGTAAATCTAAAAGGCTATCAATCATTTCTAAAGAGGAAATAAACCTTAAAATTCTTTGATTGACAGTGCTTACTTTTTATGTGGAATAAAAAAAAAAAAGAAGAGTAAAGTGGCCAGAAATCCATTTACAAAAGTACATTGTTTTACATAGGTGAGTAAAAAGCCAATAATTACACCTCCAAAAGACATATAAATCAAAGTAAGTACTTCTCCTTCACTTACATATTTTAAGTTGCAGTAAACTTCAGGTAACTTTTTATTAAAATACCTTTCCAAATGCAAAGCTTATTGAAGCCATTAATAGGGTAGCATTTTCATTTAAGCTAATATAATCATTTTTGCAAATACAAGATTTAAGCCATTTTTCTCCCTCCAAACAATAAACTTTCAGCCTGTCTCTTGTGTGAATTAGCTAAAATTACACCCAGGTGTACAGAATCTGTCTATCTATCCTAGAGTATGAGTTAAGGCACAATATTTATTATTCTTACCATTTTATGAATTACTTCTTAAACCCTTGAGGAAGAACTTTCTTTCAAATTAGACTCTAACAGAACAAGCCATGAAGCTTTTTATGCAGCAAGTCTAAAGCCATAACTCCTCACATCTAAGGCTTTTAATCAAGAAAACACACAATGTCTATGGAAATAAGGATGCATACATTATATTCACCTTTTCGAAGTCCATCTTATTTTTCAACAGAAACACTGCTTATACCTTTGAGAAAGACATCTGCACTGTAACTATGATTTCAAATTCTGCACGGATAATTTTAATAACTACGTGTAGATAATTCAACACTCCCTTTTTTTTTTTTAAGCTAGTCAGTGGAGGCCTTTTTTTAATATTTCACATAATGAATTCCTACTGTGTCAATAAAGCTTTGGTTGTTAATTGAATGACTGTCTGATGTATCTGAGAGAGGAATTTCTTTCTCTGGCCACGCTGCCAACTTACAGCAGAATGATCGACACTTAATATCAGCAATTAAAAGGACCTGTTCAAATATCATATGGAATTCGTAGCTTGGGGTAGTGTAGGAGAACTCTTCACCGAGGAAAACTCATTCAGTGAAGGCAGAGAATAATTGAATTAGACACATTTTAACATTATTATTCAAAGAAAAATAAACACACGCTACATAGAAGCATTATGGAAATATTTCAGAACATAAACCATATCCAGTTAATTTGTTTCCCATGCATTCATGGTTTCATTTATTCTTTTTATTTTTCAGCCCTTGTTTCTTCTGCATTCTGTTTGACCCCAAACCAATGAGAAAGCAGCT